GGCTAGGTAACATCTTCAGTGCTAGTTGTTATCTTCAGTGAAGATGTTACCTAGCCGGGTAATGAAATGTTTGCAAGAAAACAACCAAGCTCAGAGAACCCCAAGGACACCACAGTTCAACCCTGAGCTACACATATTTGCTTCTATTGGTACATCAGATCTAGTTTGGTTTGGAGAAGGGTTGTTTCCTGGCTTCCTTCTTTGACCCTCCCTTGCAAAAATCTCTCTAATACTTACTGCAAAAAGAGGCCAACCGCCATTGGTCAATCTGGATGCCCTCTCCTTGGCACACTGTTACATAGGCAGTGATGGCACTGCATAGGATGCTCTGGTGGCCTTTGTACAGGCAGGTATCAGAGACACAAGAATCAAGGTAAGGAGCTGGGTCAGTGGCTTTGTGGCAATGCCTGAAAGGTCCATCTTTTCTGGAGAGGATCCCACAGTAGCGGTCAGCCTTGTAAATCTGTTTCTCATTTTCACTACAGCCTGGGCAGTTGCTGGTACACCCATTCACACAACCAAGAATCTCTCCTTCTCTCCAGCTGTCAGCAAACTGGATAAAATTGGCTGTTTGTTTCCCATTCTTCATGGTCAGATCTCTACCAGGTTTTTGACTGCCATTTCCACAGAGACCACAAATTGCATCGAGATAGCTGCCAGGAACAACGATGTGGACTAGTCTGTCCCAACTGAAGATCACGGAAAGATCAAACTGAGTCTTTATAAGGACATGATTTCCACTAAGGTAGGCCTTAATCTTGTCTTCATAGTAAAAGGGCAAGTCCACTAATACTCCATCAACCTACAGGAAAGACAGAGAATACTGTCAAAATGGAAAACAAAGACCATCACCCCAGAGGAAACAACTGAGACCAGATTTAAGGGAGGTTCCAGCCCACCACATCCTTATACAGAATCAACTCCATAGAAAACAGTGGAACTTTCTCCCAAATAAAGATGAACAAAATCTGTTGGACTCAACACTTAGCTGCAAAATGCAGCAGTTGATCGATTGATTGATATTTCAAATTTAGTCACCGCCCCTCTCACTCAAAGAGCGACTCTGGGTGGTTTACAACAACAAGCATAAAAAAAACATTTAAAATACAATAAAAACAGCGTTCCTAAATAAGGAATATAATCCAAGCCTACCCTCCTACCTGGATTGTGTGAGGATGCTTGTGGCTGATTGTAATGGTCATGTTATAGACTTCCAAGATGATGACAGAAGAGAATGGCAACATCTTCTTGCCTTGGCTGTTCTGGATCTTGATGATGAATGGAGTGAGGGTAGGATCATTGGTGCAGAAGCCAACCAGCTGGTAAATGCAAGTGCCAGTAAAGTCATATCTCTGCCCATCAAAAGTGGCATAGTGATGATTCCCCATTACTGTGCAAGTGGCAGAGCTGATGGCATGACAACCTCGGATGCCGCTGACTATTCTGCATCTTTCGCTCGCCTTGCAGCTAGCTGGCTTGCACTCCACCATGCCCATCCTGGGGTCACACTTGCAGTGAGAGGTGCAGCTCTCATCACCCCAGAATTCCTGGTCCGGTTTGTAGTAGAGGCCATTGTAGGTACAGCCACAACTCCCCACGGGGACACATCTATCCACACTGAGCACGTAGCCTTCATTGCATTGACAGGTTTCCACACAGGGCTTCTCGCAAGATAAGGAAGCCAGTCGGTCAGAGCAGCTGTTTGGGCAGGCGCTTCCACAGGACTCATAGTGGCTATTTGCAGGACAGGGCAAAGCTGGGAAGAAGCAAAAGAGTAAGGACTTTAGGATACAAAACAGAGTAGCAAGGACTTCGCAGTAAATTGAACAGATGGAATGCCAATGTAACAAGTTAGGGTTGCAGTAAACTCTACCAACCATCTCATGTGTTTACTGCACATATTAGTATAATGGCATCTTCACAGCCTGACAGAGGTTCACATCTGGACCACCTGGACATTCTACCCATATCAGTTAAGAGAACAACCAGCTTGCCAGTTTCCCCAGAGATCCTCAGCATTGACTAAAAAACCCTTCACTCTAACCAGTTGAGTGACAAATTGGATTCTAAACTGAATTCTACCAGTTGCTGAGATTTCCTCCTGTTCTCTTTAATTTAATTTTAATTTAATTTAATTTAAATTTAATTTAATCCTGTTCTTCCTCCTGTTCTCTTTAATAACTCTTGTTAAAAGAAACTCAGAGAGACTCTTGCTTTCTATCGAATGGGCTGCCAATTTGGGCCACCATATCTCTATGACACCAGCACTTGCATAAGTATGTCAGCAACTAGTTGGGCGCAAAGTGGTATGCTCCTCATCAAATAAATCAGCCCGTCCTTTCCAGAGTAAAAAATATGAGAAAATCAGAGAAAAAGAAAAGAAAATCAGAAGCTACTTCTTTCTATTTCTTTTCATTCTTCCTTTTTTGCACTTTTGGCTATTTCTTTGTCTTCTTTTTTCTTTTCTTTATAGTAATTCTTGTTTGTTTTTGTCACCTTTTAAGGTTTTTAATAAAAATTATATTAAAAAAAGAAAACATATGAGGAGCTCGATCCTGCCTCACGCCACTGCACTAACTTGTACTCACCACAGCCACTTGGCGTCCTCCAGTCTGCAACAATCACGCCCTCCTTGCGGCAGCTGGTTGCATAGGCATCTAGAGCTTGGCACAGGATGGTCTTGGCACCCCCATTGAGACAGACGTCATAAATGCAGCTGTCAAAATAGTTGTCAGGGCTCAACCTGGAGTGGCATTTACGGAAGGGACCCTCATCCACCTCGGTGATGAGCCCGCAGAATTCGTCACTTTCGAAGAGCTCCCGTTTGCTCTCCTCACAAGTGGGACAGATGTCTTTACAGTGGTGCCAGCAAAACGGGTCGCGGTCCTTTACTTGCCAGCTTGTGGCCCACTCAACCACAGAATTAGCCTTGTCCCCTGCAGGTGTCACCATGTCATCGTTTGGGTTTTCATTGAAATTCCCACAGAGGCCACAGAGAGAACCATAATAGCTGCTGGGCAGGGTGATCATTAGGATGGAAGTCCAGTCAAAAGATACAACCAGCCCAAAGTCAGTTTGCAGGATAGCATTCAGACCACTCTGGAAAAGCTGGATTTTCCCATCCTCCAGGGTCACAGGCAGGTTTGTGATGACACCATTCAGCTGTGTTTTAAAACACACACACACATACATACACAACATATGTATACAATTGCATATGTGTACAGTATGAATTTTCATGGGGCCGTCTAAAAATCATGCAGATTGACCCAGAAACAGGTTAGAATGTAGTTTAGTTTGGCAAAACTGTGCCAAAGCCTATTCTGGCTTCGGCATCCGGCAGGGAGAAGCTTCAAGGCCTCCACAAAATGCTTCGTCTAAGCAAAGAGTATTGCCTTTTTGCTTCAGTGAATTATGTTACCTCTGCAGCGTGCATTTGTCAAAGTGAATCTAGGTCACCTTGCACTGGCCTAGTTTGCATTCAGAATGTGATGATCAAGTCACATTTTTGGACTAGCTTCGCATATCAGGTGCCAGAACCTGGCCAAGCTTAGCTGATCTCAAAAAAAGGTAAGCAGGGCTGGACATAGGTAGTATCAGGACGGGGGATCATCCTAAAATTCCAGGGCTACAAGCTAGATGGGGAAGTCAGAACAACATCCTGGGAGAAGATGAAGGCAACCCACTTCTTTATCATGGCCAACAAAACAACATGGACATGTTCATATCATCAGAAGGTAAGCTTGATCCAAGGGAGATTTTACTTTTAAAGCCATTTTAGGTGGAGGGGGATGATGATTATAAACATAACACTGGGGGAGAGGGAAGATTTATTTGGACCACGTCCATTTTTGTTTGTTTCTTTTGTGACCAGGCCTACTTTTGCATCATATCTTCATCCATAATCATTCAGCCACTAAAAGGCTGCCCATTCCACCGGTTCCTTCACGGTGTGTCCTGATGCTACCTCAATTTCACTGCAAAAAACCCCCCAAACTCACCCAGATTTTGCCAAAGTCCTTCCTGCGGATGGAGATGCTGTATCCATACACATAGATATTGGTTAGCCTCACAAAAGAAACAGCCTGACTGCCCCGGTTTTCATTCTTCTCATCCACCACAAACGGGACCAGTGTGGTGTCATTGCCACAATACTTCACAAAAGTGTAGGTGCAAGTGCCTTGGAAGTCCACATTCAACCCATCGAAGGTGTGATAGTGTGGCTCTCCCCAGCCCAAGCAGGTCTCCTTGTAAGTTGGGACACATGAGGCTTTGCCATTCTCTAGTTTACATGTTTCTTTGATCCGACACCGTAACTTTTTGCAAGGATCTAACAGAAGAAAAGACAGAAAATCAAACACGATAGCAGCGGCCTTTTGGAAATAAACACATATAAGATTTGGGTGCTTATGAAAGAGATGGACACAACATTATTGCAACACTGGAGATGTATGGCTATCATCTAGCTTTCCCTTGGACACCGCAGTCTAATACTGCATGAATTCCACTCTATGTAGCGATCTTGTTTTATAGAAAGTTGAGATCGGGGTCAGTTGGATCTTGAATGCCCCCTTCTGGAAACATCTTGGCTGGGTGTTTCATGTTATGCTAGGATAAATAGGGTTGGGTAACCTGGGGTGGGGGTGGGGGGGTCAGGATGTTCTTGGAAACTAGCCACTGATTTGGCATGTTGTGAGACACAGGTCATCACATTAAGCCAACACATGCTTTATTTAGTTGGGCATAACATATTATGTGAACACAGCCATATTGTTTTGGTGATTTGGGATTAGGATTTGGCGTGTTGTGCAAACTTGGCTCTTGTGTCAATCACCTTTACTGATACAGCTCACGATCCCATCCTGGACCCTGCAGGCTTCATCAGAAGAACAGTGGTAAGACCTGCAAATGAGTCCTTGTCCAGGGATGCACTGGCAGACCTGGTGGCATTCGTTCAGCAGGACCTGCTCGTTGGGCTGAGAAGGCATTGAATGAGACAAAGGAAGTATTCAGTAAGTTTAGCCTCCAATGGGTATTTTCAAGCCCCCATCAAGGAACAGAAAGCTGTTGTGTAGCACAATTCCTAAACTCTCTATTCTATCTGTAATATGGAATGTCCTTATGCTAGGAAGAGGAAAACTCAAGAACTTAGGCTCAGAGATATGGAAATACCATGAGTTCCATTCAAAATAAGAAAGCCTCCTGTGCTATGATAATAACAAGTTAAGAGCTGGACTTCTCAGGAGTAGCCCTCCAGTGTGGGATTTTCTCCCAAAGAGGTTCATCTGTACCTCCTCTATTACTCTTTAGGAATCCTTCACAATTCTTCTATAATCATGCAAGTCAGCTTTCCTGCCACTCTTCTGCTATACAGATAGTCCTCATTTAGTGACTGCCTTGTGCATCAACCATTCACAGTTACGACGGTGATGAAAAAGTAATTTTGCGACCAATCCTCACATTTACGACCTTCGCAGGTCTGCAAAGCAAAGGAAAGCTGAAGGAAGTTTCATTTAATGACCACTTTGCTGAACGACCAAGTTGCTGGTCCCAATTGTGATTGCTAAACAAGGACTACTATATAGTGATTTAAATAGTTTTATTTCTGGGATATTTACTCTCTGTAACTTCCTTTTGCTGTTTTCTTTATTCTTCAACTACATTTTTTTCTCTCTTTCTGCCCCCCCCCCTTTACTTTCTTGTTTATTTTTGGGCACCTTTCAATGTTATATTTTGTTAACTCTGTCTACGTTTTGGGTTATTCTTTTTTCATATTCATGCATTTGACACAAGGAAGAAAATGTTTTGCCCAGGGCTGAATCCTGGGCTTTGTTAGCTTATTGTAAGAGAAAAACGAAGGAAGAACCCCTTGAGCAAGGCTCGACTAGCTGCTGCCCTGGGACAGGCAAAACTGGGTTGGGTGGAGCAAAGATCTGACTCAAGTGAAGACTGCTGCCTTACCCTATAATAGCTTCCATTTCCAAAGCATCCACAGCTCTCCACTGAGACGCAGCCCAGCCCATCAAAGAAGTATCCAAGATCACACTGGCACCCCTCTGCGCAGGTTTCAGGACATATTCTGGGGCTCATGAGCCCAGAGCAGTCAGCAGAACAAAGATCAGCACACTCCTCATAGTGGCTGTTGGGAGGGCAGCTCAGAGCTGAAAAAAAGAGATGGGAGGAAACACACATACACACACACACACCCATGGAAGAGCATGATTCACATCACTGCTTCACAGCATATTTCAGGCTCTGCATCCTGTCTTCTGTAGGGGCATGTGAAACCCATGCGCTGAGCAAAAAAAGCTTTCTCTTTGAAGGGGGCAGAACGTGGGTGTCCCTTTTAATCTGGGTTCAGGGTTCTTTGGGGGCTTCGCCCCAAAGTAGATGATTCTATGGACTGTTCAAATCTAGAAAATGGGTTAATTCGATAATCAACATAACATACCCTGGAAAGGTAAGAATGGAAATACTAACGGGATTAATCCTATTAGCTGTATTTAGTTAAACTGTAATTACAGTAATAGCTCGGTTCACGAACGCTTCTGTTCACGAACAATCCGGACCAGCACTGTTCGCAAAATTTTGCTTCCATTTGCGAACTCCGCATCGGGTGACGAACAGGATCCGCGTCCATTTCCCCTGCTGTGACACATGGTCGTGGCTTCCTGTAGGGAGGGGGACTCTCCCTCCAAGCAATAACTGCCTCCCACCCACCTTCCTGTCCTCCACGCCAGAAGTCACTTCGAGCAAGGTTAGTGTTCTCTCTCTTTGTACTGTACTTTGTGTCATATTTTTGTAAAAAAATATACATATGGTTCAGAACGGATTAACCGTATTTACATTGAAGCTTATGGGAAAATTTGATTCGGTTCACGACCGATTCGGTTTGCGACCAAAGTCGCGGAATGAATTAAGTTCGTGAACTGAGGTACCACTGTACATCTTGCTTAAATTTAAAGAATGGATAATATATATCATGTAGAGAAGAGTTTATGGATGTGGTAGAAGAAAGGATGATTTGGAAAAAAAGAAAGGCATGGAGAGGTATAATGAATTGTTTGGTGCAGATTAGATTTAACTATATTTCCTTTTCTTTTGCTTTTTTCATGCCTTTAATTCCTTTGCCTTATTAGTTCTCACTCTTCTACACTTTGCATAATATTATTTATACAAACACGATGGGTAAGTAATCATGTGTGTGTGCATGCATACTGAAATAAAACTCAATTTACTTTTTTGTCACCCATTTTGAAAATGTGACCCATGTCACACTAACACTAAGAATTACCCTGAGCTTGAAAAAAGCTGAGTATCTTTGATTTACAATATTAAGAGGACTATTACTCCAGAATTTACGATGTATGTATATATGGATGACTGACTATTTCTTGCAGGAAATAATCTGATTATTTATGCCAACCTTCTCCAACCTAGCACCTTACTGATGAGTGAACTAGAACCCTTATCAGCTCATCCTGGCTGAGGATGATGGGTGTTTTAATCTGGATCACTTTGTAAAAGGCCGGATTATGACGTGTTCCATTATTTCAATCTCTGCAACACGTTTTCAACTGGATCACTTCTCTAATTTTGGTGGAGAGAAAGAATAAATACAGCAGCATGTTGACTTCTTTCCTCCATTAAACTATTTAGGGGAAAACTTTTAAAAGAAAAGAAAGCAAGATCCACAAGATCTGGAATTCAACATTACTCACGGCAGAAAGATGGACTTCTCCACAGCTGGATAAGGATCTTGGTCTCTTGGCAGGCAGACACATAGCTCTGAATGCTTGGGCACAAGGCCTGGCTGTCTCCGTTGCTTTGGCACAAATCATAGATGCAGTCATTGAAAAACACATTGGGGTCTACATTGCTGTGGCAAGCCTGAAAGGGGCCATCCAAGGCAGTGAGGATCCCACAGTAGTTGCGTTGTTTGAAAATATTCTTCTTTTCTTCAGCACAGTTTGGGCAGTTTCTCCCAGAGCATCCATCTGAACAGGGTCCCACTGCCCCAGGGACTTGAATCTTCCAGGAAGCACCAAATGCAGCCACATCAGAAGTTTTCTTCCCATTGGGAAGCATGAACTCATCATCCTTCAGTCCATTGTAGTTCCCACACAGACCTCGCATCTGCTTCTGATAGCTGCTTGGGACAGTGATTCTCACATGATAAACTAGATCATAGCTCACAACCAGGCCAAAGCTGGTTTTGATCAGGACCTTAGTACCATGTTGATAGGCTTTGAGATGTCCTTCAAAAAGGTCTATGGGGAGGGACTGGAATACCCCATTCACCTGGAAGAGAGGGTAAGCAAGGAATTGGTAAGGCAGTCACAAAGTTGGCCTCAAGGATCTTTGATCTCTAATGGCAGAACATTAATATTTTCAGTCCTTACCATCATTCTTGGCATGTGGAAGTCAATACACATTGACCTTTTCAACAAACATGCACATGAAAGGTCAACATAGTTTAACTATGCTCCATTCAGGACCAAACCCATTTGGAAAAGCTATTTCAAAATAGATCCTCAAACCCAGCTAGATCAGTTCACAAGAGGTATGCCTTATTTAATTAGAAAAATACTCAGCTAGATAACTCTCAACCCCCCCCCTTTTTCCCCCCTAATCCAAGTCAATTACATTTTTGATTTCCTGGGTTGAAAACAAATAGAATAGATGCAAAAGTAGTTCCAGTCAAAATACAGCCAAAGGGCCTCTCTATGTATCCCATGGCCTACAGATAGAAAAGGTCCTTCATGTTTCATGTTGAAACCACCTTTTCTATTTTGCTCCCTTCAAAACCATTCAGTATTTTTAGAAGGCTTCAGTGTATCCAAGGAAGCTTCTTGAGAGGTTTGGGGGTTCAGGGAACTCATTGGTAGGAAAAAGAGACAAGCATTCCATGTGCACTGCCACTCCTATGCAGCCATAGATTTTTGAAAAACCTCCATTAGCATCTTCTTTTTCTCATGTACAGCAGCCCCTGAGCAGAGTTCTATTATTAATGCTGCATAAAGGTCAGGGCTGTAGGGCTATGGAGAAGAGATGTCATAGGGCAGAGGAATTCACAAATGCAAAGAATGCAAATTGCATGGGGAAATGTTGGAATGACAGATTAGGACCAGAAAGACCTGTGATCAAAATAATCCAATCCAAATCTTACTAGCTTCTGCTTGCCACAGCCACTACCTTTTTGATCAATGTAGTCTACAGCTTTGTTGTGAAATTTATTTGTTTGTTTGTTTGTTTATTTATTTATTTATTTATTTATTTATCATATTTATATAGATTGTAGAAGATCTATGCCTGCAGTTTTAAGCTTTTTCAGATTAAGAGGGCAATGTTTTACATAAACAGACTAGACAATGTTAGAGTGAACACTGACCTGGACCTGTCCCATTTTCTTCTTCAGCAGAGTTAGCTTGAAGCCATAGACTTCCACAGATACTTGCTTAACGACCGAGACGTTTCCTGTCCCCCAGGCCTCATTTTCTGCTGTGATAGTAAAGGGAGTCAGTTTACTCTTGCTGTCACTGGTAGTCTTAGCCAGGACATAAGAGCAGGTGCCTTGGAAGTTAAAGGGGAACCCATCGAAGGAGAAATAATGAAGATCACCAGAAACTGAGCAAGTGGCTGAACTAATTGGATGGCATTTTTGGAATCCATTCACTGTCTTGCATTCTTCACTGGGCCCACAGGAGAATTCATAGCAAGTAACAGCTCCACCAGTTTGGCATGTACACTCCATATTGCAATTATTGGTTGGGTAGAAGGTCTGCCCACTCAGATAATACTGGTCCTGGTATGTGCAGCCACACTGATGCAGAGGGACACAATGGTCACCACTGAGCACAAAGCCTTCATCACAGACACACCCTTCTGTGCAGTAAGTGGAGCAAGGCACAGCAGAATAGAGACTGTCACACGTCTGTTGACAGCTTCTGGAACAGAGCTCGTAGTGGCTGTTTGGTGGACATATGAGTTCTGAAATGGGAGAATAAGGAAAGATATTGACTATCATTTATAAGTTTGGTTCAGGTACAAGGAAGCTTTGTTTTTCTCTAATCTTCCAGGTGTGTTCTGAATTCTGGGAGAAAGAGAGAGGCCAGGATGGGAAGGTTGATCTAAAGCAGTCTTCCCCAACCTTGGCAGCTTCCAGGTGTGTGGACTTTAATTCTCATCAATGGCCATTCTGGCTGGGAAACTCTGGAATTTAAAGTCTATACACCTGGAAATTGGCAAGGTTGGGAGACACTGTTCTAGAGCATTCATTATAACCCCAACATTTGAAATATTAAATGGTAGGAAATCAACAAGTTGAAGTGTCATGGAGAAAATGTATCTATGTGGTTGCTAAGAGTTGACAGTAACTTGATGGCACATAATCAATCAATCAATGAGTTGAAATTTCTCAGGAGACTGGCTAGAAGATAAGTCAAGTCCCTTAGAAACATTCAGTGCAGATCAAATGTACCTTCAATAGCCCTATCTTTTCCCCAGCTACAGGGAGACTCCATGGAATCTTACTTACTCCAGACTATATGGATCCTCCAAATATAAATGGTCACTCTCACAGCTTGGCAGGCAGATGCATAAGCAGCGATGATATAGCCCAATGCAGCTGTTTGACTGCTGGATGTGCAGTAGTCATACACGCAGTCGAGGAAAAACATCTCTGGATTGATTTTGCTATGGCATTCCCTAAATGGGCCATGCTTGTCCACAAGGAGTCCACATTCTGTGATAACGCCTCGTTGATGCTGGGCCACACTCTGCAAGTCTGGACACACCTTTGGGCCTACTTCTCCACAGCCAGTGACCTCAGCCACTTTCCAGAGCTGGCCAAAAGCTGTCAGGTTGGTGGCTTGCCCACCACTAATCAATGTCATGTCATCGTTTTTATCTCCATTGAAGTTGCCACAGAGTCCACTCAGAGCACCTTGGTAAGTTGTTGGCACAGTGACCGTGAGATGACTCTGCCAGTTGAAGGTAACCATGAGGCCAAAATCTGCCTGGATCACAGTGTTCCAACCCTTTTGGTAGATGATAATTTGATCTGGGCCCACCTTGTAGGGTAAGTTGGTCAGCTGGCCATTAATCTGGAAGCAGAGACATAGGAGACATAGGAGAAGGAACAATGAAGAAACAAACCATCTGCCAGAAATTTGGCTCTAAGTCAGTGTTGTCCAAACTTGGCCACTTTAAGATGAGTGGACTTCAACTCCCAGA